GTTACTTTCCGTTTTGTTTTCGGAAACTCAATAAGCAGCTCATGTCTCCCATAGTTGTCGGACACGGGGAAACAAACCAAAGCTGTTTGGTTGTTGGTCTGTTCGCCGAGCTTGGAAGTTGGATTGCAAACGTTTCATCACCAATCGAGGTGACATCGTCAGTGCAGGGTTGACTGGGTCCACCCACTCAACCAAACAGCGCACCCGAGCTACCTACATTCCACAACATTGCTAACAAACCAAAGCTATGGATCACTAAAATGTGGCGGAACTGGGGACTGATTTGAAAACTGGATGTGATCGTGACGAGGCACGTCCCTCCTGAATTGGACCTGGGGTCAAAGAAGTGTGGCTGACCCTGATCTAAATGGTCACCTGTTGACATGATCACATGTTCATGATCACTAAAATCAGCTGCAATTTTCCCCGGGAACTCATCAGCTTTCTTTGAGCTGCGTGCGAGATGAAATCTACCCTGTTCCGATGGGCGATAAAAAATGTTCATAAACTAGAATAAACACAATCATTTGCAAATCAATATGTTATTCACGGGCAACTCAAGTGAATCTCTCGTTTATGATGTTCTTCAGCTGAATGTTCTGCACAAGGGCCGCTTCGTGTTCCAGTTGGATACTTTCATAACGAAAACTACTCACAAGGTTGATGGACGCTCTTTGGAAACTCGGGGACTGCGCCTACGGCAAAACCAGTCGTGGGCTGTCGAACAGTTTTCAGCAAGCTTGTGAGTAGTTTCTCAAATTACATTCCAAGTAATAGCCAGTCTGAAATGGCGATATCCCGGGAACTCCTGACTTGAATCAATGCATTAAATTAGCAAAGGTGTTTACACGGGTTCGTGAATTCGGAGCCCTGGTAGGCGTCCGCCTGACTGCAATCGGACAGAACAAATTCTGTGCTGGTTAGTTTACTTGTTTTTACTTGCTTGTTTTTACGCTTTTTGCACGGTGAAAAGATCTCTGAGAAAACAAACCATTGGTCAGCAAGACGGTCTACGGAATGATCATGATTTCAAACCTAACATGCAGAGTAAAATTTCCCAAAAAAGAGAACTAGTATGTACTAGTTTGATAAACTAGATCACCACGATGGCTTGACCTGATCGTTCGGAATCTCACTTTTCCTGTTCGAGTCTAGAACACTCATCCGAACTCAATGGAAGACGGTTTTCATCAGTTGTGCGGAGCTAAGATACAGCCGCACATTTCCATGAGTGAAGCTTGATGTGTGCATCATAGTCCTCCACTTATGACTCCGTTTGACAGACCCTTTTGCCTGACTGTACCAGTGCTTCCTCTGCCTTAACAAGTACCAGAAATTGCTTGTCACTAGCTCAGTTGCTGGCTACTTTACTTGCGTCCCCATGTCAAGCTGTTGTATATCATATCATATCATATCTATCTATCTATCTATCTATCTAACTACCTATCTATCTATCTAT